ACTGCAACAAAGTAAAACGCCATAAATTTTTTCATTTTTTTTAAATTTTATTGAATGAAAGCAAAAAATGTCGGAAATAACATCAAATTTGAGAATCGGTTTAGATTTGTTCGAATTGGCCACCTTTGGCCCGAAAGTGGCTCTGCGGTATTTTGTCCCATTCTCGGCGAAGCGCTTGCTTGAGATGATCGACACTTTGGTATTTTTTAGTTCCAACCTTGCTTTCCAAAATACCCCAGGCACAATAGTCCAACGGATTGGCATCCGGAGATTTTGGTGGCCATTGTGCGGTGGAAATGAAGCGAGGAACCTCATTTCTTAACCATTCTTGGATGGCGCGTGCTGAGTGCGATGGTGCTGAGTCCTGTTGGAATGTCCAAGGTCTGCGGCCGAAATGTTTGCGTGCCCAGGGCTTCAGAACTCCCTCCAAAATATTTTCGCGATAGATTTGCGCATTTAATTTGACACCACGGTCGATGAATACGAGCGGCGAGCGACCATCGGCTGTTATGGCGGCCCACACCATCACCATGGCCGGCTTTTGAGTTGTGATGGCCAACCGAAGTTGCAAATTTTCAGCTGACCTCTCTGGCAAGTAAACACGATCATTTTGTTTGTTTACAAACTGCTGGATAACGAATGGTTTCTCATCGGAGAAAACCAAATTCGGCAGTTCACCACTTTCGGCCAAGCGAAACAACTCTTTAGCTTTTTCGAGTCTAACTTTTTTTTGCGCATCAGTAAGATCTTGCACTTTTTGGAACTTGAATGGCTTTAGTCCAAGCTCATTTTTCAATATTTGCCGAATGGCATATTGCGATATGTTCAGCTCACGAGCCATTTTTCGTCCACTGCGACGCGGATTTCGTTCAATTCGCTTTTTCACTTTTCGAACCATTTCTGCCGATGTTGCTGTTTTTTTTCGTCCACTTCCTTGACGTCGGGCTACGCTACCAGTATCATGGTAACGAGCGATGGTACGAGACACAAAACATTTATTCACTTCTAAATGCTGGAGGGCTCTAACGATAGCCACTTGTGGTTTTCCAGCCAAATGCAAAGCAATCACACTATCACGCTTGAATTCCATCACAAATAACTTTTTTTTTGAAAAATTCCCACCAAAATGCTTTTGTGCGCTTGTAAACAATATAATGAGCTGTCACTAGAATAAATCTGACAGCTGTGGGACGAGCGGTTTAGAAATGACAGCAGTCTGAAGTTGGTTGCAGTTTTTTCATCTCACCTTGTACATAAAAGAAAGTCGTGTTAGTTAGACGATTTATAACTCCGATTTTACCGATTTTAATTAATTTTAAAATTAATTAGTTTTAATTTGATTTGTTGGAATCGTCTCCGCTTCGAATAGCAGAATACATTATAAAATATTGGAAAAATCCACTAATTTTAGCAAAAATAATAAATTTGTGAATGCTGTTTCAAACTGTTGGCAGTTCGACAGTTTGAGTGATATTGATTTCTTTTTAAATTTTTTTTTCAAATATTTCAAATTTCAAATATAATAAATTCAAATATAATAAATAAATATGAGCTGAAAGTATTGATATGTTTGTTTTGTGCGAGTGCCAGATTTACCATCATATTGAATCATTGCAACCTGTTGAAGATGCACAACATAAATTCTTGCAAATATACTTCATGGGCAATATGATGGAACAACTTGAACGGCGTCAAGAGATCAACACAGCAATGAAAATAACAATTCTTCATTTAAAAATTTGAAGATTTAAAAAATATGCACTTAAACCATAATAATATCCAAAAACTTCTTTTTTGGAAAATGTAGTTATATGGTATTAACGTTTGGATAAGATTTTGGGCTTGTGTGGTACGTCTTGTACGAATGAAACGCAATTAGAGGTATGATTTTCGGTGAGCTCATATTAACAAATCTAGGAGGCTTCCAATGAGTTTAGCCGTAATGATGTATATCTCAATAAAAAACAATTTAAAAGGATGCGATCACACGATCGTGAGTGTAAATCCGTAAGGTCATTATATGAAATGTGTACTCATCGAATGGAGTACATAATAAACTAATTATTTCGCGTGCTATGTGGTGTTAGTCATATCGTTGTAGTAACATTTCTGGCCCTTTCCAAAGCTGGAGTATACAGAGGGTATACCAGAGTACAACACAAGATTAAAAAATTTAGTTAGTGAATCTCAAAGTATATATTAAATAAAAAAAATAAAACGGTTTTCGAACAGTAGTGAACTTCAACAACAAAAATTGTTTTTTATATTATTTTAATTAATTGAATTTTTTAAAAGATATTGAATGAGGTTGATATAATGAACAGTATATTGCATGGTGTCAGTTGTAATAGATGCAATTGTGAAATCTTCTATATACCACCAAGAACGATAAATTCTAAGATTAGGCACTACGCAGATCTGTTATAAAAATATATGAATGTCTGTGACTTCACAATAATTTGTTTACATTTTTTACATCCACAAATTTAAAAAACTTTTGTTTGGATCCTGAATATATTTTAAATTCTGGATTCTGGAAAAAAAAAATTCTGCGCAGATCGAAAAATTTTGGACACATGATGATGCGTAATCTTAGTATGTAACATTTTTAATATGCGGCCAACACTATTTTTATTCTTTTCTCGGATAAATCAAATTAGTTACGTCAAATTAAAGATTTCAATATAATTTGAAATGTTAAATCAGATAAACGGTTATTTTGGTAAATTTCCTTTCCAAAATTTGTAAATTATATTCTTGCAAATAATCAAAATTCTCTTACGTCTTAAGTAACTCTTAAGTAGGTTATACTACAAGCATTTCATTCGTGGAGATAATAACCACAAACCACAGAAATGTAGAGAGCAGTTGTATTTATAGTCACTGGACTGAATCAATCAATATTAAAAAAAGAAAAGAAATAAAAGACATATCCAGGAGATTTTCCTAGTAAATATACCAATAATTCTAATAAATAAATTTAAAGGTCGCTAAAATCAAAGTATGATTAAATGCGGTAGAATAGAAAAAAAAAGTTCTTTATCCATTTGCGGAAAAGATACATATCATTTTTGTCCAAGTAACTTCTTTATCAATTTTGCAATATAATAAAGGTTTTCAACTAAAAAAACATTTTTTTTAATCCAGCACATTTTTTTAATTAATTGTTTAAGAAATTTAAACTATATAGTTATTTCGAATGTTACTAAGTGTTCATCATCAGTGGTTGTAAATTTTATTTATACAGTATATATGCATTTATATATATAAATTTCCCTACAAGGAAATTTGATTTCTCAATGCTATTGGTTTTTGACGCATGAGGTACATTGCCAGTAAGGATAACAAAAGTAAGGCTGGTCAACAAAATAGAATTTTGTCCAATCATCACAATATACCTGAGCTATTTTTGATATATTACTAATTAGCACAATATAGGTAATTCTCCAAATATACAAATTATGTCTACAATCTATATAATCTTGTTACAGTTAACTATAGATTTTCGCATTGAATACTCGCAAATCGATCTTACAGCAATAATAACATAAATTTAACTTGATCAACTATATATCATCGGCAACCAAAATTAATTTGGTTTTGAATTCAGTTCACGCCAACACTCACATAATAATAAAGAATGTTTATTTAAAAATTTAAAGAATAAAAAATGTGTACTTGAATCATAGCAATATCTATAAAATTACGTTTTGGAAAAAATAGTTGTGTGGTATTAACGTTTGGATAAGATTATGAGCTTCTCTGCTGCGTCTTGTACGAATGAAACGTAATCTGGAAGGGTGATCTTCGATCAGCTGAGTGCATACATAATTTATAACTCTGCGAATCTTAGCTTTCAAAAAGTTTAATGAGCCTTTGTGTGTAAGTAGACTTGCAACTTCATAAATCTCAAGAAAAATAGATCAAAAGATGCGATCACTTGATCGTGGAAACAAATTTGTCAGGTCGACATATGAAATGTATACTCATCAAATAAATTATAAAATAAACTTATTATGTCACTTGCTATGCGGAATAAGTCATATTATGGAAACAAAAGCTGTTGCACATTAACACCATTTAATTAAAGAATAAAAACTCATGATGATGGACTATTAACGGTTCCGACAGGTTCCTGGCAAAATGGAGCGATGGTTGTACCACCACTTAAACAGATCAACTTTACTTCATATCAAAGTGATTTTCACAAGCAAGAGTGTTGTCCAATGATAAATCAGAACCCTTAACCACATCTTCCTTGAACACCTTGAAAAGAAGAAAAGGCCTTATAAAAATATGCAAATAAGAATAGATTTCCTAATATTAAAGAAATAATTAAACACAATGGCAAAAGTAAATATAATTAACAAATAATTAATAAGAAGTAATTACAAATACAAAACTTTTTATTTTATTTTTATTAATTAGTCTTTAAAATCAATATTATAATCTTAAAAATTGTTTCTAGTTTTTCATTATCCAATATTTAATCAAGCCTAAACTGCGTCGCACGGGAACTCAAAGTATTTCTGAAATATGAAAAGAAAAAATGTGCAAATTTTATATTTAAAATAATTTAACTTGACATAATCAAAAAATATGAATTAAACTCACTTCTCTTGGTAGCATTCCAACCAATTTTAGCTTTACTTTCTTTATTTTGACTCTCAACCCAATCGAATATTGGAGTATAGTATTCAATAAGTGCATCTCCACTTAATTTTGGATCAGGCAGAACTTTCCCAAGAACCTCTTTCCACGGTTTCGATGATCCCAATGCCATCATAGCCCTATAAAGAAAAAGTTCCATATTCTTTTCACAACACTGACACAAATACTAATTATTGGTTCTTACTTTAAATCGTTTCCAACTTCATGACTTCCGTAGAAATCACAGTTGTTGAGTTCTGTTACTTGTCCAGTCTTCTTACAGAATGCTCTATAAAATTGATAGCCGAGAACTTCACCAACGAATTTTCTAGTTTAAATACGAATAAAGGTAGTAAAATATATTAAAATCTATTTTAAGCAATCCCATTTTTTTACATATTTCGGTACATAGGATTAAAAAAGTAATGGAATAATAATTTTTAATGCGGACAACAAATAAAAAAATAAACGCTACTGAAATAAATAAGTTTATTCACTTCATCCTTTTTTTGTTTGATTCTGAAATCAGATTTAATTATTTTAATTATTTTTAATTATTTTGGGAGCCATCATTCAAAACATTAAGAAAAATACTCTAGCAAAAACTAACTGAATAAGGAACATAGAGAGATGTTAGAGACGATGGAGAATTCTTAGAAATGACAATTTAACTAAAAATGTTTATATTACAATCTGTATCACTGACCTTTCATTGCATAACTTTAGCCTTTAACTGAAATAGTGAATAAAACTTATAGTTAAAAGAAAAATTTTACACAACACAAATAAAGATGTTGGCTTTGGCTTTGACGTATATAAATTTATATCAATAAGAATAAAATCCTGATAAGAATACAAAAATCCTAACAAACCTATTAGAGCCTTCTTCCATTTATTTTCTTGTTAAAGTGTGCACGAATTTTCCCTAAACTAGGAAGTATACTTACTTGGTTTGCATATTTTTTTCAATGTCTAAGAAAAATTTATATGTAAAATCAATATCTTCTTCATCACGGTCTATTGGTGGTTCAACACCAACGTATTCCTCCATTAATTTCCAATAATGTTTATTAACTTCTTTATCTTCAATTGTGCCATCCAACAAATCATGCATAACTCTTGTATGAACGTAGTAGATTGGTATGTTAAATAATGTATGGATACCCTACAATTAATTAAATATGAAGGTTTTAACATTATCCATTAAGAATAAAACAAAGTCAAATCTTACCATACGGAATAAGCGGTTAAATAAAGTGTGATTAGAAAATTCAAAGTCTTTAGCCAAGCCTATTGCAGTCAAATGTTTTGGTGTGCTTGCTGATAATATAACAGCCTCGCCCACGGAATATTCCAAGTCATAAGAATTGAAATAATAAGATGGTAAATTTTTTTTTTCTGTGGCATAATGAAGTTGACCCATGTACCCATGATTCTGCATAAATTTTTTGAAATCTACAGAATTACAGTATTTCATATAAACTTTCGGTGTATCATCGAAGATGGAGGCTCTACAATTTTGCACATTATCAGATTCATCATTTATCTTCAAACGATCTCGCTTAAATTCTTCATCAAGTGGATCAAAACCTAATGATTGATAAAAACGTTCTGCTTCTTCTATAATCTGTTTAGCATCGAATTTCTCAACCAATTTGTTATATGGTGGAAGTTCTTTAAATGGAAAATAACTTTCGATAACACTTCCCTCATACCATGGTTGTTCTAATACTTGTAAGAATATATGTACCGGAATAGGTCCATTTACATCAATAACATTTTCTCCATACTTCTTCTTCAATTCATTACGCACAAAAGCATGTAGCTGTTGATACGGTTCCTTTATATCTTTCATAACAGCATCCATTTCTTTAAGCATCTCTCCAGTGTTATATGAACGATACCAAAATGCATGTATTGGAAAATCTAATAAATTAAATATATTAAATATTATTGTTATATATTATTATTACATTTCTTCATATTAAAGTAATACCGAACGCTTTAGCTGCTTTCTTTATGACTTCAACTATTTCGAAAAAATGTGCTGAAGACCAAATGTAGTTGGTGTTACGCCAAGCTGTCCAATAATATTTAAGTTCCTCGGGGTCGGTACTTTTCTGAAATACTTCTTGAATATCTGGTATATATGCTAACGATTCATTATTAGGCCTATTTACACCATCCAGATATGGATCAATATCTTTGTCAGATGCTAGTTCGTTTAAAGACACTACACTCGACAAAACATCTTCGAAATCGTCTCCTAACACAACAATATCGCCCGTCATTTTCAAAGTTTGTATTGCTTGTTTTGTTTCTTCATTTTTAATTTTACTTAAATCAAAATTTTTTGCATTTGTCGCAATTTCGGCGAGACCACCAGCAATGTTCTTAACATTTTCAAATTTGGATAGCAACTGCTCAAAATCATCGTCAGCATCCATAGATGTAAAAATCTCATCAGCAAGTTTGTTATATAATTCATAGTATTTATCACTGGCCTCTTTAATGAATTTCTTAGCTTCAATGTCGTCATTTGTTGCCCCGTGGGAAAGCTAATATATAATAATTGTAGATGAAAATAAATTAATTATACTTTATGTACTAAAAATTTTTTTACTTATGCATTATATATTTGTGAATTGAATCTAAAATTAATTTTAAAGTTAACTAAGAATGAGGAACTGAACCACTAGGTCCAAAAACTACAAAAATCTATAATATCTATGGAGTAGTGATTTTGAAAGTTGACCGAGTTTAATCAAAAATTCATATACTACAATGCTATCAAATAAAGAAATAATGCTCCACGACGAACTATTCTATTATGTCTTATAGGGCATAGGATCTTATAGGGCATTTACTGAATTGCACTCTAAACCCACTTCTCTTACTTGTTTTGGAATGTGCTAATATAATTATTTGCCTTATTATACAGAAAAATGTTTTTAAACAGTATTTTTCTCCAAACACAACAAAACTTTTAAACTTGTGGGTCTCTACTTTATACAATCGGTAAGAGTGGTTATAACTCTTATTTGTTGGCATTTCACCTTGTAGGTTCTTGATAATGATGAAAATAAGTTGAATTTTGTGTCCGTATAATAATCTATTTCCCAACTTTTAATTAATGTTTTTCTGATATTATTGCTTGACGTACATCCGAACAAGAGAGCACCTGAAATGTATGCTTCTATAAATTACTGTTAATTATCAGTATTGAAATCGTAATATATAAATCACCTGAAATTACATATTTACTACTAAAGCTTTTTAAAAGATAAGGTGCCACATACAAATTGAAATTACGTTTAAACTTGAGACATAAATACTATAATTCATACTAATGCATTCAAACATTATGAATGTGTGATCGCAGACTATAAGTAAAAAATGGAATCAAAAAATCATATATTGTAGCTAAAATTCATCAATACAATATTTAAGTATTTTTTTAAGATAGATCCTTATTAATTGTTAGGTGTGCTATATGAATCTTATAGTGGTTTGGCTTCGAACAGATTAAACCATTCAAAAGGATGATTCTTCCAATTGTACTGATATCAAATCTTTTCGTTTTATGTCTTCTATAATTACTCTTAACTTAAAAGAAATAGATTAAGAAAATTCAATCAATCTCCACATAATTAATTTTAGTTCTATTAACCTGTTTCTTTTTATAACATTAGAGTTTCAGGTAGTTAATTAATTGGTTTATATAAAAATGAACTCCGTTCCACATTCAATGAAAAAATTTAAATAATTTCTTCAGCATTTTTACAATTCTTATTTCTGTAGCTCCTTTAATTCTGTGCTCTACTTACTCCGAGGCAACTTGCAACGAGCAACGCAAACACGCAAAGTTTTTGCATTTTGAAATCTCCGGGAGCAGACTATTCCGATATTTAATCAAGAAACTAACACTTCACTTAACAAACCGAGATCAACTGAATTTGCAGCGGTGAATGCTTTCACTTTTATATCAAAATATTTGCTCAAGTGAACTTTCCGTCTTAAACATAATAAATAGTGTTGTGTAATTGAAGTGATAATCTACTTATCAGTCAAATATATTAACTAAGGTTAGCGTGTCACCCTTCTCGAACCGAAAATGGATTCTTTGGTTTAGTACGAATGTTGAAATTGCAATAACAAACAAAAAGACACAAAAAGTGCAAAACTAATTTATGCTTTAAATAAATTTATTTTATTCTTATTTTTGGTTTGTTATAAAAAATTAATTAATGAAATTTGAAAAATAATCGCTACAACAATTTCCTGGCCTGATGTCATCAATTTTGGAAGAACAAAACAGTTTCGAATAGTTAAGCTGCTGGGCGACTAACAGTTCGATTGTCGTGACGAATAACCACGTCAAGAAGACTCATGTTGGGAGTAAGGAAATTGACCAATCGATCTGCGCCAGTACGTGGTAAACGATCGAAAGGATAACCCATGGAACGACGATCTGGATAACGACGATCACGTACACCACAATACGAAGCAGCATCGCTACAGCTGCCAACCAATTCTTGATCAACCTGCAAAAATATATTTACTTCACGACCAACCTATATATATTGTTTAATTTTCCTACTCTATCATCTTCATAATTCGACACCATAACAAATATTTCACAGGGCATACCCTCTGGTAAACCTTTGGGAATCAACATATGCTGTGGCCAGCCACAACCACAGAAATTGAATTCCAATTCTTCAGGTGAGCCTGCCGCAGGACGACTTCCATCTAAATTGCGGAAAGTACGCTCAAATGGTATGGTTACACTGGACTCCGTTGAACGACGACGTATTGTGTTTTGCCCGGGGTTCACTAATAATGCACAAAAGCAGTAACAGTTAATGTAAAAATATACATGTAACATAGATATGTAAAACGTAACAGTAACATTTCATATATTATATATAGTTATTACATATGATTG